CCGGAGGGTCCTGCCTCCTGCTCCACCAAGCCTCTCAGACACTGGAATCACCTACCTCTGGGGTCTAAGGAGTTGATCTGCGAGCTGAGGGGATGGAAGATCTCGGGGGTGGGGGTGAGGGAGAATCTGCTCAATGGGGCCCCTGAAGTCACTACACGGCAGCTTTTAGATGTATCGGTGGTACTTCTTCCGCCAAAGAGCAACTTTACGAAAGGCCCACTGACCTCTGCTCCAGAAATGATGTTATTAAACTCCATTTTAAGGCAACAGGAAACAGAGAGCCAGACAGGCGGCACTCTCATGAGATGTGGGCCCCAGGCCAAGTGCAGCCAAGAACTAACTATGAGCAGGTGACTGGCCTCTTTTTCATCTGAAAAGTAAGGCTATCACTTGTTTTTACCATATTCCAAATGTGTTCTGCGGCTCAAAGAGCATAGTAAGTTGGCAGGGCTCTGCAGCATTTAAACCGCTCCCCAGATGTAAATACAGCAGCATGTGCTGTGCTGGCTCCTGGAGAGCAGTTAGGCAACGAACCCAAAGAGCAGCAGGCTTGACCAGCAGCTCCCAGTACTCCTGCAAATCACTCGCCTTGATCCTCACATCGCTGTGCTACATGCTGGGTTAGCCAACCCCATCAGTCAGCGTCTGACAAGGACACCAGGCTCTCACTCCCCAGCACTTCAAAAATCGCATAAAGATGTCAATGATTAAAACTGGAATAAAACAAAGCGACATGGTTTACTTTAGACTTCCAAAGAAAGACAGAAGGAAATTATTTTATGACAATTTGAAACAAGGACTCTGAGAAGATATAGCATGGCACCCTGGCTCAGGCAGGGAGGTACCTGGAGTCCAATAACAGACATGAACCCCAGTCTACTGAAGAGCACGGTGGGTCAGCGACAGGACATCAGAGTTCAAAAACCTCAGTTGCTGACTGTGTGAGTGACCCTGGGCATGTGACTCGACCTCTCTGTGTCTCAGTCCCCTCATTTGTAAAATAGAGTGTGCAACAGTACCTGTCTTTATCTAAACCCTTGTGGGATTATCATGAAACCTGAATGAGTTCGTTATTTGTAAAGCATTTAAAACACCACCTGCCCAACAGTGAACACTGTAAATGTTGTTAAATAAACGTCCACTTACAGAATTCTTGGGAACAGTAAGTAAAATATGTGTAATCTATTTATTAACGTGACTGAAGGAAGCTGTCATAAATTTTAAAAATTAGTGGATGCAGATCTAGAGATAGACAATTTACAGTTGACTTCAGGCCTGAGATCACCCAAAGCAACTCCTCCTGGTGTTGAAAATAACCTAAACAGAAGACTGGACTTCCCTGTGCGTCGAGCACTGATGGAGCTTCACCAGGCATGCTGTTTGGAGCGCTAAGCGCCCAATCTCTAAAAAACTCACTCCACCTCCACAAGCCCATGACTTCAGGACCAATGACTTTCTCTATGGATGAGACTGAGGCTCAGAGATGCCAAGGACCTTGTCCATGGTCTCCCAGCACTGCAAGGTACAGCCAGAACTGAAATCCAGATAGACTGGGCTCCAACACCAGTGCACTGGAAGAACACAGAGAGCCGTGGTCACTGCAGTCTCTGATCATAAACGGTTTCTGAAAGTGCTAATTAAGACGCTCATTGATATGTAACCATAATTTTAAGTGAAGTACAAACTGTCCCCAAACTGTAAAACTAAGCTTTTTGAGGGGAACATAGAATCATCATTACCAATTGTAAACCAGCCAGAACTCCACAAACTGAAAAGAAATAAGATTCTCCATATTACCACCATGTCATCCAATACTATTTCATTCTACTGGGGGAAAAAAAAATCTCTGGCTTTCCCAAAGAATTTCACACATATTGACTTACTTTCTCAAGTAACACAGAAAATCATTACCAGTCACATCCTGCAATAAGAGAGAAGATGAAAGGAGAAAAACAAGGGACCCTTATTTTCCAGAAAGGATTTTTGAAAGCAACACTGCTGGAAAAAAAACTATCCTGCCTGATCCCAGTGCTCTGTAAATACATTTTAAAAGTTATTTATACAAATCAAAATGTGCAAACTGCCAGAAGAAATACATTTCTTTAAACCAAGGAGGATCTTGCTTCTGGTTTTCTTTAGAAATCTGAGGTTACATACATACAGAAAGCAGATTTTTATTATTTTAACCACACATAAAAATAAGTGTGATAGTTTGGTCTCCAAAGTTCCTGAATCCAATGGGGATAAGCTGTCCCCTCACCACCATCTACCTGACAGTGGATTCTGTCCTTTTCACCATTAACATAATGTACGTAACGCCTGTATGTAAACAGGGGATGATAACTTTGTCTGCCCTGCAGCTCATGTATTTCTCCCACCTTTGCCCTGTATTTCTTCCCACCTTTGACCTGCATCACTTTGGGCTTCTGGAGCTTTCCATGATGATTAAAGGAAGAAGGGTCCCAAACAGAAACAGTTTTCAAAAAGAGATCCCCTCCCACCACCACCCTGTGCTAGTTTACTGAAAGATGAGAGGCTGCCCTTTCCAAGCCCCTGGCCACCCCTCTTGCAGGAAGCCCTGGGAGGTGGGTAACCCAGAGGAACATGTCCTGAGAGCTCCAGCCCCAGGGCTCAAAACACAAAATTTTGCAATTTGTCCCACTTCTGTAAAGCTCCATTCAGAGCAGACTACTTTGTTTTCCAGGAGATGTGTAATTTTAGGCAAGGTTTCTGGAAGACAAGACACTGCAATTAATGTTGAGTGAGGGAGTGTGTCAAGGACACAGGAACTTTTAAAAATGTCCAGTCACATCTTCACCATCTCCACAGAGTTTGCTGACTTTTTAAAAAGACTATACAAGGCTCTGTAGGAAACTGAAAAAACAAAACAAAACAAAACTCTAAAAGTGAGAGAAAAAAAAGTGTCAAGGAAAAATAAAAATATACATTCTATTTTTCACATAATGTTCTGCCAAACCCCATGCCCCACGACCACACACATTTCTAGACACTGCCTCAGGCTGGGTGAGCGGCCAGGCCCCGAAACCAAGGCTGGGAAAGCAGCAGCGATGAGACTGGCTAAGAAGCTGGAGTGGGCTGTGGTGGTCACACAGCCGCCAGTCACTTCCAGCAAACCCTCACCGGAAAGCCAATCTCTGCACTTAGGGTGCTTTGCTAACTGTAAAGTCTCTCTTAGCAATGTTGATTCCTCATGTCAGCATGTCATTTAGGATCAGTCAATTTCAGATTTCCTGTCCTGTGAAACATTTACTTTACACAAGTTATCAGGAGATAACGTGGTCCTCACCAGTTTCCTGCTTATCTGGTCTTTCCACACTGCTAACAGAATGTATTCTCTCCCATTTCCTTGTTTCAGAGAGCTTTCCACCATCAACTTAAAGGAAAAAAAAAAAAAAAGCCTCCAGAAGAACCTCCTGGTCTCTCGGCCCACAGCACTGTGACCCAAGGGTGCACCAGCCCCGCTGCAGCGCCCGCCCCTTTCTCAACGTGATGGCACCACCATTCTTCAGTTATCACAGTACTGTACCTTTCAGACACACAGCATCGGTACCATGATAACCGAAAAAGGACAGTTCAGTCTCATACCTACCTGAATATTCCCTTGCACCCAAGGCCCACTCCTCCCAAGCTACCCTCCCATAGGTGGCTCCAGAACAATCTTCAAGGACACAGACACATGCACAGAGATATCAGGGCTTAAAGGGGCTGTTCATAGCAACCTCATTTACTATCAGGAATGCTTTTTCACTGTGCTGTTTAGAATTCAAATCTTCTAAAGATCTGCTCTTTTTGGAGAATGCCTACTTTAATAATCCAGCAGGCAACTTCTGATAACAACCCCTTGGCCTCAAACGCACTTCTGCATTTCCTTCCTAGTCCAGTGGTGTTACTATGAACTTTGTCTTCTGGACAAAAAGGCAGTCTTTTTTCCTATAGCTAGAGAAAAGAGGAGTTTTTTAAAACTAACAATAACACCCAAACTATATATAAATAGTATACCTCCAAAATGGAAATGCCAAAGCCTTTGAATGTGTGGATCACAATAAACTGTGGAAAACTCTGAAAGAAATGGGCATACCAGACCACCTGACCTGCCTCTTNGGAGATCCAACCAGTCCATCCTAAAGGAAATCAGTCCTGGGTGCTCATTGGAAGGACTGATGCTGAAGCTGAAACTCCAATACTTTGGCCACCTCATGCGAAGAGTTGACTCATTTGGAAAAGACTCTGAGGCTGGGAGGGATTGGGGGCAGGAGAAGAAGGGGACGACAGAGAATGAGATGCTTGGATGGTATCATCAACTCAATGGACATAAGTTTGGATAAACTCTGGGAGTTGGTGATGGACAGGGAGGCCTGGCGTGCTGCGATTCATGGGGTTGCAAAGAGTTGGACACGACTGAGCGACTGAACTGAAAATGGAAATAAGGTCTAAAGCATAGACAGAACTGTCAAATACATATCACGCAGCTTTAAGGGAGTGACAGATGGAGAAGAAGAAACTGCAGGAAAGAAAGGAAGGCTGAATCTTTGAGACACCAGATGAAAATGACAACCTCCAGCTCATTTAGGATTAGTACAATCAGGTGTCCACAGGATGGTGTTCAGTATAATGCTTCTGTGGTTTCATGCAACTGGAGGACAGAAATGAAGTCAAAGTCGCTCAGTCGTGTCCGACTCTTCGCAACCCCATGGACTGTCCATGGAATTCTCCAGACCAGAATACTGGAGTGGATAGCCTTTCCCTTCTCCAGGGAATCTTCCCAACCCAGGTCTCATGCATTGCAGGCAGATTCTTTACCAGCTGAGCCACAAGGGAAGCCCAAGCATACTGGAGTGGGTAGCCTATCCCTTCTCCAGGGGATCTTCCTGACCCAGGAATAGAACTGGGGTCTCCCACATTGCAGGCGGATTCTTTACGAATTGAGCTATCAGGGAACAGAAGTGGACAGCATAGGAGGCTGAAAGAAAACAACTCACGTGTAGGGAGAGAGTGGTCCGAGCAGGACTTTGGAAACATCCTGCTGTCCAAGGGTCATGAGTAATAGAGCCAGGCTCTGGTTGGTCGAGTCCACACACCCACCCTGTAAATAAAAACACTTCAAAGATTAATATTGTACCAGTCAGATAATGGAAAACCAATCAAGCAGAGGGAGGAAAAAAAAGGACACAGATGTCCAGAGCAGACACACAGAAGAGCAGACTGCAAAGTTCAAACAATAATAAAACAGAATAAGGGTTTTTTCAAGACTTATCCTGATATTAACAACCGTAGGGGCTTAAACAGTTAATCAAAATAATTGTAAGAGTTGAGACTGTCAGAATCAATAGACATTGAAGTTTACTGAGGTGTATCTAAGGAAAAATGAAACTTTCCCTTCGTAATTAAACCAATAGCAGGACCTATAAGCAAAAAGGCATAATCATTTACAGGCAAAGCACAGGTAATTAACAAGGTTAAGTGAATGACTAAGTGAATGACATTTCTACTCATTAATATCTTTCAGAGACCACCACAGCTAATCTGACATGAGAGGACCTTTCCCTTTCAAGGGTCTTACCTGAAACACTTATTTAATTACATTCAGAAACTCCATGCCATGTCCCATTAGATTCCCCTCTTCAGCTCTTCCTCTGTGCCTTAGAACTGGAGAACCTCCCAAATCCAATCCCTCCACTTTTACTATTTTTGCATTATCTTTCATTTTCCCTGTTCCTTCAAATCAATAAGCAAAACAGAATTCTTTTCAAAAATTTCTCCTGAAGTATAACTGCTTTGGTTGCCTTTCTTTTTTCATTCTTGAATTTCTCAACCACTTCAGCCATTCTTACACTTGATGTGTGCATTCCTGCTGCTACCATTTGTGCTTTAAACAATGTCCTTATTTCAGATCATTCTTTCTGGGATAACTTTATATTTAAAACAATTTATTTAGCCAGTTAGTTAGCTATATTTACTCATTTATTTGGCTGCACTGGGTCTTAGTTGCAGCATGCAGGATACTTAGTTGTGGCATGCAAACTCTTAGTTGCAGCACATGGGATCTAGTTCTCTGACCAGGGATTGAACCTGGGCCCCTTGTGTTGGGAGGATGGAGTCTTAGCCACTGGACCACCAGGGAAATTCCGAAAACAATTTAAACTTGCAATGTAAATAGCGAGAGCAGGATCACCTTGCACATCAACATATTTTGCACACATCATAAAAATCTAGTTTTTAACCATGACACATCATCATTCAAGGCTAGAATCTCCCAGACTTTGAACAGGCTAGGTGGTCACCCACTGCTGCTTATGTGAGCACATCTCTCTCCTTTTCAATGTGTGTAGGGTAGAAGTAAGTCAATTCCCACATGTAGACACTCATTCTCTGCCGTTAAGACTTCCTACAATGGAAGTGGATCCTCCAGCCAGGCTTTATGAAAATCTACTGCTCTTCTTAAATCTATCTGAGTTGATAAAGGACAATATTTATCTTCTTTAGCAAATTTTAGAACAAGAGTTATAGCACATATATTTCCATCTAAAAGGGAAACCTGACCCCATGGAGAATATATGGACCAATAACACTATTTCTGTTTTACAGAACTCACACCATTTCATAAAATTAAAACTGATCTCTTTAGTCTCTGCTTCCTATCACTATAGTGCTATTCTGCCATTCTCAACTGATTTTTATTTATTTTATTAATTTACTTATTTTTGGCTGCACTGTGTCCTCATTGCTGCTTGTGCAGGCTTTCTGTAGTTGCAGCTAGCAGGGGCTTCCCTTCCTTGCGGTGTGAGGGCTTCTCATTGGGAGTGGCTTCTCTTGTTGAGGAGCACAGTTTCTAGAGCACAGGCTCAGTAGTTGTGGCACACAGGCTTAGTTATTCCAAGGCATGTGGGTTCTTCCTGGACCAGGAACCGAACCCGTGTCCCCTGCCTTGGCAGGCAGATTCGTATCCAGTAGGCCACTAGGAAAGTTCCTCAACTGATTTTTATTATGTGCTGAACCAACATTTTACTACAATAAATATATTAGGGTCTGTATACAGGACACCATGGAGGGAGTGGTGGGGCCACTCCAAAAGCAGAAGATAGGATCCTTGTGCCAATTAGCTTCAATCTCACTATGAGATATGAGCAGGAACCAGTAACAGTTCAAGGTGAAGATGAAGCTATGCCATTGAGGGCACCAGGACTGCCAAGGTGGTGGGGCAGAGGTAGTCACTCGCCCGGCTCCAGAGAGAGGCTTTGTGGAGGTGGGGATTTGAGCTGGCTCTGGAGTGATGAGCAGGATTTGGAGAGGGAAGAAGAACAGGAGGATGGGGGAAAATACGACCCAGGGCCAGTGATGAACAGCCAGGAGGCCAGCCTGAAAGTGGCTGAGTGCTCTCTGAGAACTACGTGGAATTGCAGGGACAAGGCGGAGCAGGAAGGCTGAGGCAGGGCTTTTCTCACTGGGTCAAGGGTTTTGACTTTATCCTAGGAAAGTGAGAAGCTGGTGAAGGTCTCTGGGCAAAGGAGTAACAAGATCAGATCACTGTTTTAGGGGGAGATTTAGACTGAAGAGGATGTTGGAGAGAATGTGGAAAGGATTTCCTCTCTGTAAGAAAGGAGAGCCGGTACGTCTAATGGGAGGAGGTTGGTGTGGAAGGGAAGAGGGTAGTAGAGCAAAGGAGTAACAAGATCAGATCACTGTTTTAGGGGGAGATTTAGACTGAAGAGGATGTTGGAGAGAATGTGGAAAGGATTTCCTCTCTGTAAGAAAGGAGAGCCAGTACGTCTAATGGGAGGAGGTTGGTGTGGAAGGGAAGAGGGTAGTAGATGGTGGCAGAGAGATGGATAGGCTAGGGTAGTTCCAGAAAGTCTGGAATGGAATCAAGAGGACTTGCTAACTGATGAGACATAAATGGAACAAGAGGAATTAGATCAGAGGATTAAAACTTTGGTAAAAATAAACAGTACCAAAGGAGATGGATTTTTATTACTCATTTAAATCATGTCACATCACAGACTTTACAAAGAATTATTATAAAAACATGAAGCATCTTCATCCTTTTTAGCAATTAAAGACCACAGATCCACACAAAAGAAATTTTCTTAATGATTTAAAACAAAAAATATAGTCCAGCCACAATTAAATGGTTTAAAGTAGAATTTAACTAGAGTAAAGAAAAAAAAAATAATAACCTAATCCAGATTGCATGTTTTCTGTCTTGGGGACTGGTAGACTGTGCTTTCACCCTGAGGCTTATAATCTGCCACTTATGGAGATATGAAACCCACATTCTAGCTGTGCCTGTGGGCTCCCACTGGGCTGTTCTGTAATAAGATACATCCACGTCCCCCAGGTCCACTGGAAAGAGACAGGAGCACTGGCGAATGTCTAAGCAAAATGACCAGTGGTGCAGGTTTGTCTTCAGCATCTCCTGTCACCTTTCCTTTGTCTCACCTTCCCAAGCCCCTACTGTGCTCTTGACACGGGCCTGCCTTCCTTAGACAGTCGTCAGTGCTCCCGAACACTGTGCAAAGTCGAGCCTAATGACACTGTTTTTTATCTGAATTAACTGTCACATACAAATCCAGCTTTCCAGTTTCTCTTGAAAAATCTGAGAACGAGCCCTCACCCATGGCGTGGCAACAACTAGGGGGCTGAGAGAAAGTCCCTGCTCTGGGCAGGGCAGTGTGTGCCCTTCACTTGGCAAGTCACTGCCTAACCTGCTTCATTTTTCATCTCCTCTCTCTTGCATGACTCTGTTCTAGTTCTCTGCCCTCCCGATCGTTAAAACTTACCTGCTGTTTCTACCAAACCAATGTGGCTGAGTCTCTGCTCACTGACTAGTCAGCTAACCCACTAAGCTAGTTAATGCTGAACTGTCTAAAGGGCAGCAAGAGGTTCACTCCTTGACTGAAGCCCTTAAAAGAGAAAGAAACTTGCTAATGAAGAAACATGGGAATTGCTTCCGGGTGCTCCTCTCCCAGGCCTGCAGAAGCTGAGGACATACCCGGTAGATCTCTTCGAGCAGCAGCCTGGCGCAGTTCCTGCCGAGGAAAGCCAAAGCCCACACAAGTTCTCCACTTCCCTGGCCCTCACTCAACCACCCAGAAATGTAAGCAGCCTGGAGACCACCTGATTACAGCTCTTCTTGAGAAACAGCAAGTTGTTGCCCTGTGATGAGAAAGACCACCCAAGGAGAAAGGGCCTAGAGAAGGTACACCTTTATGTTTTTGTCCCCACGGGACGTCGCTAACTCAGAATTCAATGAATGTAATCCAGAAGCTAGTATCATGTTCTCGCCCAGGTGTTTTGGCCACCAGCAGCCAGAACCTAACATCCTTCCAGTCCAGGACCACATATGCTTCGTGCACTCATGCACACAAAAAACATTTAGGAGAAAGTTTCTACATACCCAGGAACTGGGGCACACACAGGCCCCTGCTCTCATGAAGCTTAGTGACAACCAGTTTGATGTAAAACAAAATCAGCTGACAAAAATAAACACAAGCATCTCCCCACAAAACTTCTAGATGTGACACCTCACATCTACCTTGCTCAGTGCCTTTTAAACAAATATAGCTGATCCTTGAATAACACAGGTTTGAACTGCTCGGGTCCAGTGACACAGATCTTTTTTTTTTTTTCACTAAATATGAACCCCGGATACAGAGGAACCAAAGATGGAGAGCCGACTGCTGGTTTTGACTACAGGGAAGTTCAGCACTCCTAATCCAAGCATTGTTCCAGGGTTAGCTGTATCCAGCTCCCAGCAGTACACTCCACATGTAAGCACGATACAGCCCTGCCTCCTTTAACACAATTCAACATACATGTTCATGAAGCACCTTCTATGCATCTAGCACAAAACTAGCCAAAATATTTGTTTCAGAAAAACTACATGTAAAATTATTAATGTACTATATGAGTTCACCACAGTGGGGTAACTATACTGGTTGGTCCTTAATATCTTAAAAAAAAAAAATTGATTGTCTATGCAGCCAAGGGTTAATAACACCTGCCAAGGGAAGAGGGAGCAGTGAGAACACAGGTTCCAGGGCACTCTGAGTCACACTCAACAATCTAACACTGTACTTACCAGCATGATCATGGGACATTTAAAGCACAATCTCAAGTTGCCTATGATTCACTTGGCCAGGAGGAGGGAGGGGGCACCCAGCTCATCAGCAGAGGCAGTGGCACAAAATGACAAGGAGAAAACGGAGGGAAAAGGGCCAGGAGACAAGCCACCATCACCGCTCCAACCCACTTAACTGGTAGTTCCTAAGCACCTCCAAATTTTTCCATCCGTGTGGAAAGTTTTTGAGGTATGTGTACTTATTACAATGAACTTCACATTTAATCAAGATTGTTCCATTTGATATCACATTTGTTTTACAGAAAACAACACTGTAACATATGAAGCTCTATGCACGTTATGCCAACATCACTCACCCTCCAATTTGGGTTATGTATATTATCAGGCCTATTTCAAGTTATGCTGACAAAGCAGCTGATCACCAAGTGACCTCACTGAAGAAGGCATTTAGTACAGTTTATAGATCACGGGCTCCAAAACTTTCTAATTGATAAAGGGTTAGATTTTTCAAAAAGTCATGACTTTGGGAATCAAAATGGGACCACGCTGGACAAATGCGCACCAGACACAGGCCACCAAGAACTGCTGGCTCCACGGGACTCTCACTCCCAGAGTTCAGCAAGCTTCACCTACGAGGACACTTCCGTGAATTAGAAAGGGAAAAGACCTACTCACGACTATAATTTCATAAGGGAGAAGGAAGATCACTGTTTGCCAACCGTAACTTGTTATTTAGAAAATAGAATCCAAATTTAACACCGTGCATTGGTTTTATAGGTAAATTTTACCTGTAAAACAAGGCTATATTATGCCTACATCTCCACACACATGTGAGCTTTCTACTCATTATTCGCAAGTATGGGCCTTGAGCAGCACGAGGGTCGGCTGGTCAATGATGGCATTATGAAAAGCCACATTCTAGCTGGGAGCACAGTCTTCTGGTCTGCTCTGCTTCTTTGTAGAGCGAGAGGCCAGATGACAAGGCACTAAAGAGATCAGGCCACTCAGACAGCTGCTGGCACCACCCACCCTCCCCCATCCCTTGTAATTCCCTCTCCCCAGGAAACAGCTGACACATAATTCCAGACCTGCAGCCAAGAAGGGAGGGCAAAGGCAAGAACGGCATTAGCAGCTGCCATTTCTGCAGCACCTACTATGTGCCCGGCATTGCATTAGGGGCTTACATATGGGATCTTTTCATCTTTACAGTAACAGTAACCTAGGGATGTAGGCATTATCACTCACATGTTAGGAATGAGGACAACACCAATGGTATTTGAACAATACACCAAAAGTTTGGGACCATCACTGACCTTTCCAACTCCCAGGGAAAAGGCCAGCTTTGCACACAAATCCTTTCCCAACTCTAAGCTCTGACACCACCCCCTCTGTTGCTCTGGACAAGGAGCCACCACTGCATTTGTGAAATCTCCTTTATCTTTTCCTTAGGCCTCATGAAGGTCAGAGATCTCATAACACACTTGCCCCCTTCTTTCCCCTCTCTTTCCTTCTTTTGCTGAGGTTAAAGAAAGCTCAGAGGAAGGACTATGAAAGGATGAGCTGTGGTACAACTTAGGAAAAAAACTGATTTCTTATCTCACAATTGTCAATCTCTAATGTTCTTACTTTTATAAGATACAACCTGCAAAGTTCGGATCCAGAGTGTAAAGATACTGTCATTCACACTAAAATGGCTCAGCAAAAACAGAGAAAACTCACATACAAGGAAAGCAAATTTGGCAAAATAATCTCTACCTACAAGTAAGAAAAATATACAAGTATACACTGTATTATCCTTTCAACTTTTCTGTACATGTAACATTTTCATAATAAAAAATCAGTGGTTTCTAAATATATAACAAAAGCCTAAAACAGATATTTTCATTACATAGATCATCATTATTAACTTTTTATGTTCTAATGTGAGGTTTTCCACAAAGGCTCTAACTAAACCAAATTAAAATCTGCAATAAGTTTCTCTGGCTCTAAGGGTGTTGTTCCCCTTGATGGAGACAGAAGCCAACTGGCACTTGCGACCAACAAAGGATTTTTTTTCCCTAAATTGTTATTTACTCAGGGTGGGAGAACTTTGTTTACTTTACTTTATAGTGGGAACAGAGGGCAGATGGGATTTAAAGCTGGAGGCACTGTTTATTAATAGCTGGGTTTTAATTCCCTGAGGCTGGTATCTCAAACCCTCATCGCCCAACCCTGGGCATGGTGATGCTTTCCATGTGATAGATGCTCAGAATATACTTGGTGGTGACAATGGCAGTAAGTCAGAAGGAAAAAAAATGTGAATCACTCTTCCTCTGGCTGCCCAACCTCAGAGCTGGCAGCTTAAGCTTCAATCAGAGACCAGGTGTATGAAAAATGCTTAGGAAGGCTGCAGAATTAGGCTCCCAAAATGCACAGACACTTACTTCCCAGAGTTGATGCCTTTCATGTGGTCTGTGTAAATATAGATATCGGGTATAAATTTGTTGAGGATGCTCCTTGCAGAATCCACAATCCGGTTTGCCATCTGAGGTGATACACGTACTGAATACCTGCAACTTGGAGTTAAGGGTGTCATTCTGCTTGGACTCCACAGCAGAAAAAGTCAGTCATAAAGCTAGCAAATATTTGTGGTACTGTCATAACAAAATGATGCTTCTAATTTCATTCTATTGTCCACTTGTATTTAATTACTTTACTTTGTAGTATCATAACTCAATTTTTACATTATTATTATTATTATAAAATAATTGTAGTATTATAAAAACTCCATGAAAAAAAACAAAAAAACAGAAAAAACACAAAAAAAGAAAATAAAAGCTGCCAACCCTGCTCTAGACTGTCTAGCCATTCCCTCTCCTAGAAATGGTTCATCTCAATTTTGGAACAAGTAAAGGCAATTGCCCCCCTGTATGGCATGAGCCAGACTCCCTTTGAAGTATTCTCTGAAAATCCCCACTGCTGTTACCGTTAAGCCTTTCTGTTAGAAACCTAAACCCAGGACAGACACCCCACTGGGACTGACCTGGGCCCCTGGGTGAATCCACCCCACAGTATGCTGACAAAAGCAGCAGAAAAAACCTTAGTAAAAGAACACAGTGGGGCTGTCTAAAAAGGTCTAAACAGGTTTTCAACTGAAGAGCCTATTTTCAATTATTTAAGTGTCGACAATGCTATTTATGATGATACAGGCTCCTTGCAACTGCTACCTAATGGTCCAAATAGTGATAATTAGTACTTTTACAAACGACAGCCTCAGAAAGGAAAGGAAAGATATTGGCAACTCAAATCAACTCAAATTAAAAGAGTGCTGCCTGAGGAATTGGAAACTACTGCCTCAAATTAAACTTTATTACAGAGACCGGTTCTCCCCAAAGCAACCAACCAAGTAAAAAGTAAGTATGTACTAAGTACTTCCAATGTCCGATGTATGGTTAGGGGCTGGCTGTGCATGTGGAACAAGGGGCTAAAGAAATGAAGAAGTAACAACACATGATCTTCCCATTACTCTGATCCAAACCCCAGGAACAAGGTCCAACAGGGAAAACCAGGTGTGTGGTCTCCCCAGCCCAGCCCAACTGTTCGAAAATTACTGTCAATAACACATTTAATTTTCATTCGAGCTGCAGAAACAAAAAGCAAAGCTTTTTGGCATCAAGCTCCCCTTTCTGACCCATCCTGGACATCCACCAAAAGATCCAGCTCCCACATGTGAGGGAGAAGCTCCCAGTAACTCCAGGCCCTCCCAGATCTTGAGATCAGACCCCTAGTCTTCTTGGTTCATCCCCAAGCCAATACCACCATCCCGAGATCCATGAACCGAAGTGTCCAAATCCCTCAGCCTGAGGTACCTGCCTCCATTCTTCCAACCTGGAGATCCCCCCTCTCCTGAAATCCTCCAGGATGCCCCAACTGTGGTCTACACTTGAACTTACCACACGTCTCCCTCCATGTACACTCAGGCCGTCCTTGCTCTCCGATAACACTGCATGCTTCATAACGAAAGGGGCTCTACCTCTGTATCCCTCACAAGTCTCTCATACACTACTTTTGTACTCAGAAATACTCGATAAATATTTGACTTGACTCAAAGGACAAACCCAAAATGAGGAAAGAGTAAAGAGGGATTTTTCAATACACACACACACACACACACACACACACACACAGAGCCAGTTACATCACCACTTATTCTGTCCAGAACGTACTTTTGACCACAGGCAGCTTCGACAAACAGTCCCAGGTCTCATACCCTTTGGACCAGGAGGGTGCTGTCCCTCTGAGGCCTGAAGCTGCCCACATTCTGCAGGAAAATACAGATGTCACTATCCTGACACATAATCCCATGGTGCTCGTGGCTTTCAAAGTTCTTTCAGGTACATGATCATCTTATTTTATGCTCACAGTAACCTTGAGGTAAGGCCATGGGTTTCTGCTTCAGGGCTCTCACTGAGGTCAACTGAATCACAGAACCAAGATTAAAAATTAATGTTCATCGCAGCACTGTTTATAATAGCCAGGACATGGAAGCAACCCAGATGCCCATCAGCAGATGAATGGATGAGGAGTGGTACATATACACCATGGAATATTACTCAGCCATTAAAAAGAATTCATTTGAATCAGTTCTAATGAGATGGATGAAACTGGAGCCCATTATACAGAGCGAAGTAAGCCAGAAAGATAAAGACCATTACAGTATACGAACACATATACATGGAATTTAGAAAGATGGTAACGATAACCCTATACACAAAACAGAAAAAGAGACTCAGATGTATAGAACAGACTTGTGGACTCTGGGAGAAGGCGAGGGTGGGATGTTTCAAGAGAACAGCATTGAAACATGTATACTATCTAGGGTGAAACAGATCACCAGCCCAGGTTGGGTGCATGAGACAAGTGCTCGGGCCTGGTGCACTGGGAAGACCCAGAGGGATCGGGTGGAGAGGGAGGTGGGAGGGGGGACCGGGATGGGGAATACATGTAAATCCAATGCTAATTCATTTCAATGTATGACAAAAACTACTGTAATGATGTAAAGTAATTAGCCTCCAACTAATAAAAATAAGTGGAAAAAAAAAAAACCAAAATTAAACAGATGCAACTTCCCAAAGGCAACCTTCTTCCCCCATCCCTCCAGGGATGTGGAAACTCGGTAGGTCAAAGTGCTAATCAGGGCCAACGGAAGCGTATACTAGAATTCAAGCACTGGAGAAATGAAGGAAAGGAACTTTAAAGTCAGCTGCATCCCAGAGTCATTATAGAGCTCCCTGGCTTGGTATGGAGGTCCTACCAAAACTAGCTAAGAGTTCTAGAATCAGACTATCTGCGTTAAGTCCCAGCTCCAGCAAACTGCATCATTCTGGAACCAATGTGCTATTCTTGGTGCTTCTGGCTTTGCACAGTGGTGGTATCACAGCCAACGAGCTTTATCCAAGGTGTGACTATTGCTTCTTGAAAACCTGGTGCCTCTGCATCCTCACTGTTACAAAAATAATAATCATAATACTCTCCTTCACAAGGTCTGGAAGCTCAATTGAAACAATGCATATCAGGTCCTCAGCCATGCCTTGTGTGTAGTCAGAGCCCAGTGAATGTCAACTACTGCTTTTCCTACTGGTAGTCGAAGGTTCAAATCCCAAAGCAGAGGTTCTTTCCTCTTAGGAGTAAGAGACCTCTCTGAGAATCTGATAAAAGCCATGAACCCTGTCTCAAGAAACACGTGAACACACAATTTTGCAGACCATTTCAGGGGCCTTTTATGAGTACCATAATAAGAACTCATATCCAAGAAAGACAAGTTCATGCCTAGAGGGCATGTGGAACTCCTACCCTTCACCCTCCCTGGTGTTACAAGTCAGAGAAGGCTAAGGAGTGAGGGTGTGTGTGAACACAAAGAGACTGACTCTCTAAGTACCCTCCTTACAGTTAAAAGAAAGGAAATCAGATCGTCCAACAAACTCCACCCCATGTCCCTCTCCTGCCTCCACCCCAGCTTCTTGTCTTGACTCTTATACATCCAATTATGAACTACTGGGACAGCATCACAAAACTGAAAGACAGTGTTTCTTTCTCTCTCAGGCAGTGGGGAGAACGAGAGTGGGTGGCAGTAAATAAAAGGCAACCGCACTGTCCAGTCACAGCTGCTGGCAGGAACACCACCAGCTCCCTCCCAGGCCCCGGCCAGTCAGAGATGCACTCTGTAGGGATGGGGGTGGCGGGGGAGGGGGAATAGTTAAAACCACAAACACATACAAGAGAATGGGACTATTTCTCACAGCTCGAGCCCTCCTATGAGGAATATAACCTTCAAGCTCAGCCTGACTGTTAACCAGCCTTGCAAGTAACAAATCCCAGCTAAAGCTTTTTCCAAAGGCAGCTCTTTTCTCCCAGGCTCCAAAGCTGGCCAAGAAGGTGATCTCAATTCAAACCCACATTCCTTTGGGGTATCTGTGAAATGAGCAGCTTTGCAGACCAGCAGCTGGAATGTCTAGTTTGCAGACAGGGATCTGGGCAAGGGCGCTGTGTCGACTTTCCTGGGGAGTTTAGAGGAAGGACTAGAGTTGGGGCTAGATGGGGGAAGGCACAGATGTCCTATCCCCAGTCTCAAGGAGGGGGAACTGCCTGGGACCTCACCAGCATCCTTCTGGCTCAGAGCCTACACAGGAAAGGCTCGAAGAACACCAGAAAAAAGCAGGGGAGGAACAAGGTTACATCCCAGATGCCTAGGGTACAACAGCTGCTTCAGCTTTTATGTAAAACCCTGTACAATCCCAGAGCTTTCCCTGTTTCCTGGCATCTTCATCAAAGACATCAAAAAACTCACGAGGCTTTTGTACGCCTGGTACACGGTACATGTGAGACCCCAGTGTAGCAGCCTCCATGCAACCCATGCGGTTGCCACAGGACTGTGGTAAACAAAGAGAGCACACACTGGAAATCACATTTCCAAACTAGAGAGAACGGACTCCAAGCAGAGTTCACTGCCTTGACACAGCACCGGAGAAACAGATCTCTAAATAGAAAAAACAAACTGAAATAGTTCTCAAAGTGTGTAGGACTCTGTGTACAAGGTCATTAACCACAACATTTTTGGCAACAGTGAAGAACAGAAGACATCCCAATGGCCATCAACAGGGTTTAACCTGGAATTTGAACACAGTGAGATTCAATGTTAAGGAGAATGAGGTCAGGCTATTAGTAACTAGGGGGGCTTCCCTGGTGGCTCAGGAGGTAAAGTATCCACCTGCAACCTAGTAGACCCCGGTTCAATTCCTTGGTCGGGAAGATCCCCTGGAGAAGGGAATGGGACCCACTCCAAAGTTGTTGCCTGGAGAATCCCATGGAGAGAGGAGCCTGGCTGGCTACAACCCACGGGGTCGCAAAGAGTCGGACACGACTGAACGACTAAACATGCACATAAGTAACTAATATGCATCAAGCAAATCAGATATCTTTAGTTTTTAAAAAGAAAACCCACCTACTAGCATCACCAAGCTTTCCAGGTGGCACCAGTGGTAAAGAATCTATTTGCCAATGCAGGAAACAT